GTGACCACTTTCCTTGAAAGAATAAAGAAAGGAGAATGAATATACATTAGAGTATAGTTAAAGTTGAACTGGTCTAATATAAAGAAAACCAGAAAAACAACCTGGCTATTTGTGGGAAGGGAGATCAATAGCTCACAGTACGGCACACTGACCACGTGGAGCCCCAGGCCTTCTCATTCATGTGTCTACATTTGTTCTTTGCAAAGTTACATATTTCTGTAAATCCCAGAGAGTTCCAGAGTCAACTCCACACACTGCATGCAGAACTGAGTTGTGACCATAATTTTTTTGCTAGGGATCTAGAGTTCACGCACGTGTGTGTGTGTGTGTGTGTGTGTGTGTGTGTGTGTGTGTGTGTGTGTGGCACCTAGCCTCTTGCACTTTTGCAGAACATTATGCACTAGAGAAGATGGAATAACACATGGGTTAAAATACCCTAGGTTTATGAGATGGATGATCATCTAAAACAGCACAGCCTATAATTATCTGCTGGGGGTTATTTGCTTTATGAGAGGATAGTTCATAGTTTAAGTGGCAGAAAAGCACAAGGGCAGGGAGTATTATTGGGTCAAATCTAGAAAAGGAAAGTAACTGAGTATTCACAAAGACAAATAACATATATCACTTACATTCCTTTAAAACTAATAAGCTAAAACTTACCTTCCCATTAGTAGCATGTGTGAAGTAAATGAAAACTCATATTGTGGGCTGGAAAAGTGGCTCAGTGGTAGAATGCTTGCCTTGCAAGCATGAGGCCCTGCATTCGATTCCGCAGCACCACATAAGCAGGAAAAGCCAGAAGTGGTGCTGTGGCAAAAAACTCATATTGTAAGCCATATGCACATTCACCCCTCTCTTTCATCACATATGCACTGCAGCGTCTGTGATTGTGGATTGCATTGGACAGCTAACCATGTGTTGGTCCCCCATTGGTTTGTCTTCCTTTTCAAATTTTGAGTCCCCGTTCAGATACACTGCAAACAAGACTATCACCTTGCTGCATCATGCATCCACCTCAGTTTTCAAATGAGATGCTTTTGACATGAAAGCATTAAGTGTCCACTTTTTTTTTTTTTAGTGTCTGGTCATGGGGCCTGAACTCTAGGCCTGGGCGCTGTCCCTCAGCTCTAGGCTAGCGCTCTACCACTTGAGCCACAACACCACTTCCGGCTTTTTCTGCTTATGTGGTGCTAAGGAATCGAACCCAGGGCCTCAGGCATGCAAGGCAAGCGCTCTACCACTGAGCTACCTTCCCAGCCCTAAGTGTCCACCTTTTGAGTCTATTCATTGGCTCTAAGAATGATGAGCACATTTATCAGATAACTTCAGAGCAGATATAAAAATTGTTGATATTCAGTTGGAGGCTTCCTTCTGGTAAAAACAAAGTATGTTGTTTTTTGGTAAATAAGAGTGACAGGGCATTTGGGAAGCATGCATGACGACTTGATTGGAAATATTCCTGTTATTTATTACACCCTTGCTATGTGACAAGCATTTTATTTTCTTAATTCAATCCTTATAATAATTCCACTTAGAAAGCTGAGACTCAAGAGTCATAATATTGTTGAGAGTTCAAACTATGCTCTGGTGACAAAAACTTCTGAAATATAGTGATTGAGACAGGTGACCTGGGTGGAGGCTTTTTTTTAAATTTAATTTATTTTATTTTATGTGTGAACATACTGTACAGAGGGGTTACAATTACATGGGCAGGATAATGCGTACATTTCTTACCGAGCATTGCAGCCTCCTCCTTTGTTTCTCTTTCA